AAAAAAAAAAAAAAAAAAAAAAAAAAACCCAAGTCCTGAATTTTCTCTGCATCTTTCAGGGGTTGTTTCTGAGGGAAGCGCTCCCTTCCTGCATTTCTGCAACTTCTCTTTTTTACGGCGTAGGAGTGCTTTTAGGCGAACGTAGCTCTCAGAGCTGAACGGAGAACCACGCCCCAGCGGCCGGCGAAGCCGCGCACGGTTGCTGTGCCAGCAGTCCTGATTCTTCCCCGCTGGAGCACGATACCCCGGGGGATGACTTCTGCAACCCTCGCACAAGAACACACGCCCAAGAGCAGCGCTTCCCCCCCGTTCCCCCCCGTGCACACACCAGCATTGCTTAGGGCAAGCGTCAAACAGATTTAGCGTCCGATGTGTATTTTTTTTTTTTTTGGCAATCCTTTTTTGCCCAGCTTACAGCTGGCGGGACTGGGATGTCTGGAGGGTTTCTAAAGCCTCAAAAAGGGAGGGCAGCCCACCCCCCCAGCTGCGCAGGGGTGCAGGGGGGCTCCCTCCCTCCAGCTCTGCCAAGTCGCAGTGGTTTTGTTAGCGTAGAGCCGGGGGAGCCGGCGTCATTCGAGCCGGGATGAACGGGAATCCGGTCAGGGACCCGCGGCGCTGCGCGGAGCAGCATCTGTAATGCTCCGCCGCTGCCATTAAATCCAATTACTCTGCTCCTTTACTCCACAGCCTTCAGAGCTCTGGTTAGTCCAGTGCTGCCCAGCAGCGTGGGAAACGTCTCCCCATTAACCCCATGGCGACGTTTAACGGGACAGGCTGCGCCGTGCATCAGCATTGGCTTCCCGCCCGCACCACGGTGCCGAAGGCGCTCCCCAGAGCCGGCAACGGGGCTCGCCCTGTCCTTGCTCTGCGCCCACAGGCACCATCAGGAGCTTGGGGTGTGGGGCTCTTCGGGAGCTGTTCTTAGCTCTCAGAAATAGAAAAGCGCTTAGAAATTAGAAAGCTTTCCAATAAAATAGTTGCCTGTAATTACAGGTGAAAGCTACGTGGCTGCAATATCATTTAACTCCAGTTTAGATAAAAAGTGCAGATAAAAAAAAAAACTCTGTTGTATCCCCTGGTTCTCTTTAATCTTTCATCATAGAAAGCCAATAATAATTCAGCCAGGGAGCCTTAAATGAAAACCCCTAAATTATTCCAGAAGAAGTCAGGTAAGAGCCGGGGGGGGGTGGGGGGAGCGGATTCCTACCCTGGCACCCCGTGCAGCGGGAGAAGCTGGGCTGATCCCTGCCTCCCTCCTACGGACACAGTGCCTGACCAGCAGCGAGGACAGAAGGGAACTTCAGCGAGCAACGACTACTGTTTTCTTACAGATTAATTGCAGTCTTCTGCTTCAGCTACACAGTTTGGGGTAAGGCAGGAGGCCAGAAGGGCGGCTCTTCGGGTCATGCAGTGTTACAGAGCACCTAGGTGAGTTATTGCATCTCTGCCGAGATGCTCTAACAACGACTCTGCCTAGCTCTGCTATGGGGAATCCTGCAACAGAGCAGGGAGAGAAAGCAGAGGATAAAACGACCCACAAAGCCAAAAGGAGAGGCAACCGTAAGGGGCGCGGGTTAAGCGGCATTTGTTGTGCTTTAATGCTTCAAAGCCCCTGTTTAGGGTGTGAGGAATGGCTGGACGTACCATCCGCAGAGGCGGGAGTGAGGGGGATGTACTCCGTCGATGTCTGGCTGGTCAAGGACACCCTGGCTCCGGTCAGGTCGATTTTGGTGCTCCGGCAGGTGTTGGAACAGACCTTTGTGTGCTGGTAGAAATCCAGCTCTCCCGAGTCCATGATCTTCCTGAAAGACAGGGACAGGCACGTCAGCGGGAGCAGCGAGTGCCAAGGCACAGCTCCTGGCAGCCTTCGCCCCCAAACTTCTCAAAGTCCTGGATGAAAAGGTTAGGCATTGGGAAAAAGGTTAGGCATTAGGAACAATTCCTTCCCCTTGGGGCTGTCAGGCACTGGAAGGGGCTGCCCAGGGAAGGGGTCGAGTCCCCAGCCCTGGGGGGATTTAACAGCCGGGCAGAGGCGGTGCTGAGGGATGGGGTTTGGGGGTGGGATGGCAGGGGTAGGGGAATGGTTGGGCTGGGGGAGCTTAAAGGGCTTTTCCAACCCAAGCACACACAACGGAGTCTCTTCCTTCCCTTTCTGACTCCACAGCTCATCCGAAGAGCTGGGGCACAACCCTATTTACGAACTAAAATAAGGTCTCTCAGCTTCAGCAAAGGAGGTGGCAACGCTGGCACATGTGATCTTCCCAGTCTAAGCAAGTTGCCTCCAAGGCACCCCCGGGCTTCGCTGGCCAAGACTGACCTGCGCTTCCCGAGGTTTGCTCCCATGGGCTGCTGAGCTTGCCTTCACACATTCCTTGCAAAGTTGGTTTTTTTTTTTTTTCCCTTAAAAACCTGCCTTGCCAAAGTATAAGCCTATTACGCAAAATCCACGTGGAGCAAAAGCTGCTTAGAAGGAACAGGGGAGACGCCTGCATTGAGGCAGAAGAATACAGGCAAAGGCAATGTCACCCTGTGAAGAGAGCATAAAACCACTGACAATTCCTGGGGAAAGAGGTGATGCGTTTTTATCCTGCCTACAGGCAGAGGCAGACTTTAATTAAATCACAGTCTCAGGCTGCTGTTCAGGAAAACCATAGAAGAATTAAATTGCTGTAGTTAAGACTCGAGAAGAGAAATGCTGGCATAAAAAAGCTCTAAGTAAGTTCTTGGGGAAAAAAAAAAAAAAAGCGATATAAAGTAGATCTATTGCAATGGGAGCATTTGTTCATGACCAGACTTCCATTTGGTAGGCGGCATCAAGAACATGGCCCAACCACCACTGGCCATTAAAATTTGCAATGACCTTCTGCCAGCTGGGAACTCGGTGTGGTGTAAATCCTAAAGAGAGCAAGGAAGCATTTTTTGCCCCGAATTACTCCCTAGGCACAAGGATAAAGCAAAGCCATCGGGCAGACTGCATTTGGGGCCAGGCTGTTAAGACAAACGTTCAGCGGCACATTCGCACTCCCAGCAGCGGAACAGCCCTGCCAAAGGCTCGGTCCCACCCCACCGTTATCCCCCAGAAAGAAGCAGCCGCCGCTGTTGCTCTGCAGATACAAGTGAAGAGACTAACCGGAGCATGATCCCGTTCATCCGGATGGCCCGCTTCCAATCCTTCAGGGTCGACTTGCCCGCCAAGTGCACGAACTCCTTGGGACTAATTAGGTGATCGTCAAACTGCAAGAGGCAGAAGTGCAATGTCAGCGTGAGAGGCCATAAAATAACGTAAGCGTGCCCCGTGAGCGTGATTCAGCCGCGGGGCCAGGCAGCCCGGATGGAATTTCCTGGTGCCCAGCAGTGGAGCTGCATCACGGCGCTGTTAAAAGAATAGCACCAAACCAGATGGCTGAGGCACACTTCCCCACCTGAGAGAGCATCGACTGAGTTACAAAAAAATTAAAGCCAAATATTGCTTGCATGGATGGTTGTTAACAGCTGCTCAAAGCCAAGGGCTTGGGAGTTTGGGAAATGCCCAGGACAGCTGGGAAAAGCACCCCTAGCTTGTGCAGAGCATCATCAACAGCAGTGAGCTGCTCCCACTAACGAGCGGACCGACAACGAAAGCCAGGCTGCCGCCGGTGACGTTTGGGCCCAGGAACAGGCTACACCCCGCGCAAGCGAGGGAAGGAGAAGCTCATTCAATCTTTGGCCTCCTGCTACGGAGCCACACCATCGATATGGGGTGAAACCTCTGGCCTCTCTCACAGCGCACACCCACTTCTGCTGAAAACCAGCTTCGGGGAAATGGCACGTACTGTACCAGCAGCCAGCTCTTCCCCCTTCTTTATTGCCCTCCACACCCAGCTGTGCCTCAACCCGTGAGCTGACCTAGAAGCAACCTGCAGAATCACACCGTCCTCTGAGGAGCTGCTTTACCACCCAGCTCAGCAAGGATTTCACAAGCGCAGGCTTCCTCTTTTCAGCGCCCATGCTGACCAACACAGAGGTCACGCGCCGTTCCGGTGTGAGAAGCTGCTTCTCTGAACAAGCCCACGGGCTTCAGTGCAAAGAGGGGAGTGATTTTAGGCAGCGGCAGCAGCATTATGTACAGCAAACCTGCCCTCTGCCTTGGGGATGGAAGAGACCATCGCTCCGACGATGGGCAAGGAGCATCCTTTGGAAAGCCCTTGTGCGACAGAGCCAGAGGAGACGCTCCCTGGGCAGGGAATTGTTGAGTCCGTGTATAAATGCCAGCGACGGCTTACGGCAGCATCACACGTGGTATGGTGCTGGAAATGAAAGTCTGGCCCTGCTCCCCAAATTCCCTCAATTTTAGCCACTCAACACGTCCCTTACAATAATCTCAACTTTCCCTCAAACCGAGCAGACGCTGCAAGTGCCCGAATTTCTCAAACCCTCCAATAACGCAGTTAAACTGAGGCAGCATTTCTCCACCCAGCACTGCTCAACTTGGCCAAAGAGAGAAATATCAGGTACAACAGTACCAAGAATTTCCTCCTCTCCCACCAAGATGGGGTTCTGATGCAAAGCAGCTCACCAAAGCTCATCAAAGCGAGCCAGGTCACCCCGCAGCGCGGGCTGGGGAAGGCACGAGTCCAGCGTCAGGGACCTTCATTCTCACCTGCACACACTTCACGTTGATCCCAGGGCACACGAATTTTCTCCAGATGAGGTTGGCTTTGCTGTCCCCACAGGTGATGGGGTAGACAATCTCTGCCTCCAAACTGTCCTCATCTTCAGCCATCTTCACTTCTCACAGGGAACAGAGGCAGGGACAGATCAAAAAGAAACGTGAGTCACAGCCCCTGATTCCCCACCCTGACGCACACAAACAGTGAGAAAGCAGTTTTGAAGCTCAGGATTTAAAAATAAATAAACAAACAAATAAATAAATAAATAAGGACGATGCATGGTGGGGTGCGCTGGGGTTTGTGGGCACTGTTCACTTGCACTTTGCTACTAAAGCCTCCAACCACCCAAATTGCTCGGGCAGAACAGCGCGGGCAGATTTATACCGCTCTGGCCGCAGCTGAGTGCGTGAAATCTGAGAAGTCAGCGGCCAGGGCTGAAAAAATTCAATTCTTGATAAACATGAAAGGAATTAATGTTGTTCGGGTAATTATACATTCACCTTTAGTTCTAGAGCACACCTGGGTTTAAGGCAACTCCAGCCCAGCTGGTTACGGTCTTTGCTCTCTAAATTCGCTTGTACTTGCAAGCAAAGCCAGCGAGTTTACTGCAAAACTGACACCCCCATGGCAAGCTGGGAGGGCGGGAGCCAGCACGGCCAGACGCAGGGCCTCATCCTGCACCAGGAGAGGGCAGCAGCAGCCCGACCAGAAGCTGCCAGCTCCCAGAGAGCACGCCCAGGGGGATTGCCCCCTGCCAGGAGAGCACCCCCGGGGGCATCCCCCCCACCCCAGGAGCTCTGCACAGCAGCGGCCAGACCCGGTTGTCACCAGCACAGGGGTGGTGGAGCCAGCACAGCTGAAGCGAGAGGCTACGGTACGGGCTGAACCTACCTAGGACCGCTTCCTTCAGATGCGTGGAGGCCGTGAAGGCGGCAGCAGCCGCAGCAGCCGCATTTTCGGTCTCCAGCGTGTCTTCGTTTATGTCCCCGCTGGTAAGAGAGTCAGAGAGGCAGAGTTCAGCCGCGCAGATGTGCCATCCCCACACCCGATGCCCCACGGAGACGTTGCTTCAGAAGGCGCTCAGACCACATTTTCCCACAGGAGCTAAAAAGTCAGCTCTGGTTTCGAGAGGCTCAGCTCCATTCTTCCATACGGAGATGAAAAGCCCCCACAGCAGGCAGGACCGCTGCCAGCAGCCCAGCCAGCTCTGCCTCGCCTCCCCTTTAGTCCCAGCCCCACGGAGCTGCCCCCCGTGCAGGGGAGCTGGCGTGGAGGGATGCTGTCATCACGGCCCCTCGCTCAGAAGTTGCTGCCAGCCTCTGGCAGCTTTGCCTGAGAAGATTTCCCCAGGAAAAACATGTGCGAAACACACTGGCGGGGCGATGGACTGGCTGAACCCCCCGGTAGGCGGGATGCTCCCAGGAGCAGGACCTCCAGGAGCCACAAACACGCTATAAAAAGAGTTCGGCAAACCCCAAAACAGCGGATCCATGAGCAGAGATAACATACCAGGAGCTCCAGATCCAACCTCTGAGCCTTTTGCAACTCAGTATACCCATGATATTAACTACAGCTGCCTATCCGACTGCTGTCACCCCCACCCCACCCCACCCCGGAGATCTCCAGTTTCTCTTGGTGCTTTGCCGATGCAGACACACAGCTGGTCCCACGCAGCACCCACACCCTCACCATTCGCCCATTCCAGCTCTTGCTGTGGTGTACAAAGCCCCAGGCCCCTCTAATGAGTTTTGGTGCATGCTCCGATGGGAAAGGCATTTAGGGCTGTGATCCAGGACACGCTCCTCACCCCCTGGGCCAGGAGGGAGCCCACAGTGGTACCCTTATGGATCCCACCTGCACATCGCGGCCAGCTCCCAGCACAGACCATTCCTAATGGGTTTTAAGATGTGCATTTGGTTTTTGTTATTGAAGATGATGTCTAATTACCATAGAAAGCTTGCTGGCCCTCTTCGGGTCCTGCAGGAGCGGGGAAGCAACAGTTAACTTCTCACATACTGCAGCATATTAACTTCCTAAGGAAGACTGCGAGGAGAAAGTAGGTTTGAACCTGAAAACCTCCCCAATTTGGTACCACGGATGAATTAAAAGAAAGGCCCCAGTGACTCACTGGCAACCACACTTCCCACCCGCGGTGCCACGGGGACAAGCAGATTCAAGAGCAACTGGTTTTTCCATCTTGGCCTCCTAACGCACAGCTCCGGGGTGGAACTGCAGCTTCAAAGCATCCCTCCCCTCGCCAGCTGCAGGGCAGGTACCCGGTGGGGAGCAGCACGGAGATAAGGGAGTCGGTGTGGGCGGCAGCGCAGCCTCCCCGGGTGAGGAACTGGGGAGATGCTGCTTCGGAGGCGTGGGAGCTGAAGGCAGCCCCAGCTGTGGAAGAAAGGCACCGTGGATGTCACACTACCCCCGCAGCGGCTAACAGCCTGGGCCCCGGGGCGGGAAAGGTGGTGGATAATGAAAAAGGACTCGGAAAGGTAAAACTCAGGGCTACCGCATTTGCAGACAGGTGAATATTACAGAATACAGCAGTTTGACAGGAGAAAAATGGGAGAATTGTAACCTGGTTTTCCTTCATCCGTTTGCCGCTTGGTTCTTGCATTTCTCCAGATGCGTTTGGAGAAAAGCCGGCGGTATCGCTTCAGCCGGGCGGCAGCGGCCACCTCCGACGTGCAAAGCCCAGCACCCCGCAGCCCTGCCTCCGACCTGCCTCCGCCGGCCACCAGGCCAAAAACCTCCACCACCTCGGCAAAAAGCAACACCCGGCAGAAAGCCAGCGCCCGAAACAGCTTCCTCCAGGACTCCATCGCATTCGCATGGAGAAATCACCGAAAGGCACGACTGGATCGGGAGAAGAGCCCCAGCCACATCTTAAACCCCATCCTCCAGAGAAAAACAAGCAAAGCAACTTCAACAGCTTGTCTGAAAAATTCAAGTGACTAAAGCCTGTGCCTGCCACGGAGATGTAATGGGGTGCGGGGGGAGAAAAACCACACCAAAAGGTGAGTTTCTCCACACTGTTTCCCCATCCCGTTCCAGAGGAACGGACTGGGGCAGATGCAGGGGCAGGAGAAAGCTCAAACGCCTGCCAAGCCCCAGCGGTGCATCCCACCGAGCCCGTCCTGCCTTCGCCGGTTGCCATGACGAAGCTGGGGGAGGAGGATGGCTCTCATCTTCCTCCCCGGGAGGATCCATAAACCAGATGGGAGGAAGAGGAGAAAGCGCGGGCTGGTAAAGCAGCGGGCTCACGTCTCCCTTCTCCTCCGCTCCTGCCTCGCCTGGAAACTTGAGAGAGGGGAAAAGTCTCCACCAGAACCTGCACTGGGGTCGCTGCTCAGTACCAGCACCAAGCACGGACCCCTTCCCACGAAGATAAAACCTTCTGGCTGGTTATTACTATTTTCCCACTTCCCTCTGCCTCTTCCAGTCAATCTTAAAAACACACGAACTAATTAAGCTCTTAACTAACACGCGAACTAATTAAGCTCCCCAGGTTGCGTGTGTGTGTATATATATATATATATATTTTTTTTTTTTAAGTAGCAAAAGCATACCCAAAGGAGCACTAGAAAAAGAAATCAAACTCAGCTCTGGGGCTGGTGCCTAAGTGCCACACAGGACAAGTTGAAAGCCCGCTTCCCGTGTGAGCAGCGACCGAGCCAAAGCCAAGGAATCCCAGCCCGTGCTTGCAGCCGCTTTCCTTACGCCAGCTGGGGCTGCAAAGGGAAAACAGAGGGAGAGGGAGCCAGCGCCGCTACGGTGTCTCCCGGCGAGGAGCAGAACCTGGCAGAGGCAACCGTCCAAGGCTACAGAGAGACCGTGGGTGGCTCATGCTGCCACCCACCCCCAGCCCCACCGCCTGCTCGGCGAGGGGAGTCCCTGCGGCCGGCGCGGTGGGAGTCAGGAGGGCTTTGCTCCACAAGCCCGAGATCCACGTCCTTCCCATCGACCCGCTGCCATCCCGGAGCACGGGGGAGCGAGGAGCCTGCCCGGCAGCCCTTCTCCGGAGAGCTGCATGGAAAACCCTCCGGGAATCTCTCAATGCCTGCTAAGATATGCTCCACTCGTAGCTGGCACTAAATAAAAATCATCCTATCTCCGCTGTGTAGAGCCCTCCTGCTTCTGACCATCCAGGGGACACGGGGAGGATGAGAAAAGGTTTCCAAAAAAAACCATAGGAGAGGAAAAAAGAGCGAAAGGAAACCAAACCGACTGAGCCGGCCTCTGCCATGGTCCATGTTCCCGGACAACACATGGGTCTGCAAGGCTCAGAGTCACATTAAAACCAGAAACGGTTCCGCATCCAAGAGCCACATCCCAAGCGTCACATCTGGCTGCTCCTCCACCAAGGGAACTATGGAAGTCACCATGGGCCAGAACGCAAGAGGAGCAGAGCCTTCCTTCCCCACCATCACCCACTCTTTTGGGGATGGAAAACGCTCTTGGAAACGCTTGCAGACCTGGGATGCGGAGGAGGAGCGGGGCAGCTCCTGCCCATGGTGTCCCCGCTGCCCTGCCCTGCCTGTTCCCTTCCAGGAGTTCATCTGTTAATGACTTTTATTGCAGTTATAGCAGAACGAGGTGTGAGCTTGGATTTTCTGACCATCGAAAGAGCAAAACACTAAAAGAGCTCTAGGCTCCGTCCCATGAAAGACTGCAGAAAAATAAAGCAAAGAGCCCATCACTACATGGGCCTTCAAGGCACCAGCCCGGCATTTGGGCCATGGAAGCAAAGACTTGACCGACCTGCAGCTGAACAGACGGGACCTGAAGGAACAGCAGTCCCGGATCCAAAATGCCGGCAAGAAAGGCAGAAATTGGGCAAAACAGCAGCACTTTCAAGATCAGACACATCCACTCTGGTTTTTTTGAGCCGTGCCTCTCCGTTCAACGCCATGTGGTTTCAAGGCTACCACTTTCACTCCTATTGCCGGTGGCGGAGGCTCCTGCAGGGCACTGCTGAAAAACACGGCCCCAGGCCCGCCTTGGGCAGAGGGGCCCTGCTGCACCGCGCTCGCCACGCTGCGGACAGACTCGCCTCTCGGAGCGACACCGCTTAGGGAAGCAATCATGAAACAAAGAGCAGGAAAACACTGATTTAGCTACCGGTGTCCCGTTCCAACCGGATTTGCGTCCATTCCAACACCCACGTCCACTCAGAAAAGATGGTTTGGTTTGGGGATTTTTGCTGGTTTGGGTTTTGTTTTTTTTTTTTTTTTGAAGACGTTTTCCCCCATCCATCTCAACCGAACTGCTGCATTGCTTTTTACTCTGGGTGACACCAGCTTAAAACCACCAGCGGTAACTCAGCTTTAACAGAGACAGTGGAGCCTGCTCTGCTCTGTGAGCTCGGAGCTGCAGAGCCCACGGCCCTGGGTATGGTCCCAGGGGCCTCAGCGAGGACCTAATGGGGAACTGGAGATTGCCCGGGCATCGCTCAGGTGGTCCCCGCTGTGAGAAGTGACGCAGGCGTTAAGTAGCAGGTGATTAAATGCACCCAGCTCAGCTGGCTACGACCACGGGCGGGAGGTTTTCCAGCACAACCCTTGGCGTACGCCAACCCCATCTCTTACCCGTGCTGGGACAGGTTGGTGGTGACCAGCACCGTTTTCACCTCTTCCACGCCGGCTCCGTCCACCACGCCGTCGGGCGTCGTCACCACCACCACCTCCTCCATGTGAACGCTGACGTCCGGAGTCGCCATCGCGGAGCAGGCAGCGATGGGCAGCCAGGCGGGAGAGCCCTCGGTCACCGGCTGCCTGCGGAGAAAGGAGGGGAAGCCCTGCGTGAGAAGGTGTCTGCTAAGATGACATCAATGACCTAGACAGCGAGATCGAGTGCACCCTCAGCAAGTTTGCAGATGACACCAAGCTGAGTGGTGCGGTCGACACACCAGAAGGACGGGATGTCATCCAGAGAGACCTGGACAGGCTGGAGAGGTGGGCCTGTGTGAACCTCATGAGGTTCAACAAGGCCAAGTGCAAGGTCCTGCACCTGGGTCGGGGTAACCCCCGG